TCCTGTCTTGGTTCCAAGCGCTTCCCTTCCCGCCTGCACGTCTTGCGTCTTGATGCTCCACCATCTGCCTCTATGTGGTGCAGTTCTGCTACGGACTAGACAACACAACAAAGCTTGCCGCTCGCCCGCTCCGAATTCAAGATCCTCTTCCTGAACAAAACAGCTATCGCAATGAACAAGCAAGATCATCATTCGCAGCGGCAAGCCACACGCTGACGGTAACACGGCCATGCGGCCATATGTCTCGAAGCTTGGAATGCTGCTACATATTGCTGCACGTGCGAGGGTTTGACTTAGCTTTGTACCCCAGTACCCTACCACCTCCCTCTGAAGTGGGCAGTCTCGGACATGTCACGCATTTACATCTGTTGTCTTGTCTGAACAGTATCGGGTCTGCGATTCCGTCTCGATTCGAGCCTCAAGGTCCAGCTCCATGAACATGCCGAACTCGATCGATAAAACAAATCCGGTCACGAGATATCTCTTGCTTGTTTTGCAGCTTGCCAAGCGGTAAACCTCAAAATGGATCACGCTCAGCCATCCCGCCAGCCATCAAACTCAGAAAAGCGAATGTCAGCGGCCAATGCTTTGCAACCCTTGTCATGGCCTCACTTACAAGAGACCATCGGCGAAGCACTAGCTTAGCCAGACTCCACTCAGGGTCTTGCAAGGACCTGTCCAGTTAGGCCGTCGATCCTGCTCAACCTTTCAAACGCCCCATCGACTTGTCTGTCTGGCGAGGCTTTGCGCTCGTGATTGCCAGCGAACACGTCAAGGATTTATCCCAAAATCTCCCCATTCAAGGCACTACAACCAATAAAGAATCTCCAATCTGCAGAATCTGGTCTGCAAATCCTGCTCGGAAGATGCACGATATGTCCGCGCACAAGAGTTGATGCGATAAATCGTTCCGCAGCTTTAGCTCTCTACAAGCTTATGGGTCTTGCAATAGCTGGACGATTGATCATGATCAAGAGGCACCGGCGATCACCCATTGCCTTCTCAATTTGTTGTTTCGGGCCACAGCGATTGATTGTAAGAGCCAATCCATCGATTGCTTTCGAAACAGATATTCATCCGTGAGCCCACCTACCATTGTGCCGTTGGCAATCAACCACATTAGGTTTTCAATAGTTGTCAATGCATACCATACTTGCTTCCACGGGTGTTGGAGCTACCCACGCTTGCATCTTCTCAGACTCACAACAGTTGTCGAAGGAAGAACGTGATGGGCACATGTTACCATCGTCGATCGCGAGCTGATTGCATTAAATGCAAACAGGATTGAATGCCTTGGTTGTTACTAGTCGAAGGACTAGTTGTGTTTTGCGTAACAAGCAGGCGCACGAGCATTGGCCACATCCACATCGGGTTATCTTGATCTGGTGAAGAGAAAATCTCCCGCGACAGGCGTTACATTGACGATAGAAGAGACAAGGAATCACCGGCAGTACAATGGTATCAGGCCAATGCACAGCCTGCTGTTGTGTCTTCTAGGCCATGCAATATGCTGGCCAGCCTCCCCAGAGTTGTGAAGCAGAGGCCACCTGGTGTCTGTGTGGGATGTTTCTCAGACTTGTAGCACGCACGCACGAGTCGTGAAGACATGGCGCACAGTCATTCCTGCGACCCTGCTGCTGGACCGCACGTTCATGCTGCGAAACTAACAATGATGTCAACATCTCCTTACAGAGAATAGGATGAGACAATTTATAACATCTGAATGTCGAGCCCCGTGAACCCTCTTGCGCTTCGGCTGACATAGTAATTAACCCCTTCTTTCGTTGAGATGTTCCATGTCAATCTCTGGCTTCCCCTTGATATCTTGACCGCATCTGATGCTACAACCAGGGTTCTCCTACAGTACCCTAGCCTAGCTGCTTTCCGTGCGCACGTCTCATCTGGTGGTTGTACTCCCTTTCCTTCTCCTTCTAGACCAAAGACAAAGAAGGATCTGCGGTCTTTGTTTACGGAGAATCGATAATGCGAACTACGGGGAGAGCGATTCATGCGGGAAGACTAGCAGTTTAAGTCTATTAAGAGTCTCAACAGGATGGCATTTCTAACAACACGAGTCAGGTGAATGCGCGCGCTAACAGCTCTCGCCAATTACCAAGATTTATGTTGTTGATGAAGCCCTGCAGAAGCATACGTACATACACGAGGATACTGTCGAAACAAACAAACAAACGCGGTATGTTACAGCAAAGTGGGCTCGGCACATCCAACAGCTTCCTGTTAGGATCAGCTCTTGGCAAGCAGTTACCCGGGGAGTGACAGCCAAGCAATAGTCTAACCAACCCGAATTGACAAGCCAGAGAGGCGAGATAGACTCAACGGCGGTCGTTCTGAGCTCGGCATAGTACGTACATGGATGTAAGCCGCATCGAATCTTGCTCCACTGCCGATGGATTTTTGTCGTGCCGGCTATTGGCAACTCTGTCGCCATCAGACCATTCTTGACGCAGGGGTAATTTTGATGCTCAATTCTGGACTTCGACTTCAGGGAGCAACCGCCGGCGGTCAAGAATTATAGACGGGTCAATTGGTAGGTACTAGACTGAGGCGATTTAAATTAAGGAGTCTTTATCCGTATCCAGCGTAACTTATGTACACAGTAGCCGCTTGACAAGCTCTCTTTTCCTCTCTTACCGTGCTCCGGCTGGCCGATCTCCATATAAACTCGTCCTGTGAGCCACAACAACTCCGAGACGATCTTTCCCCGCCGTGGGGGCTTCTATGGCATCTAGTCTCATATGTAACTTGATAGACCAGAATAGACGGGCCACAACATGTATCGTGCGCACGATATGCAAATGTGCACTATCGAAATGTCGTGGCCACATCGATCGCACTTTGCTGGCAGTCTCGACTTCTAGACGTGAGGGGCGAGTTGAGCTTGAGTTCGAGTTTGTATTCACTCGCTGTGACTATGGATGAATCCGGCTTACTAGTGCGTGCGCGAAGCTGCTCAGTTTGAACAGAAAGCCAGGTTCATAATAAATGAACTATCGAATTGTAACTACCATTCATTCCTAAGAGCAGAAGCTGGCCTCTGTTCACAAAAGTCGACAGCTTACACCCTTGAGATGGATGGCTTGGCGTTACCTGAAGATTGGTTTGACTTGTCCTAACCTTAAAAAAAGAGTTTGTCATTCCGGTCTCATTATAGAGTCCCTTCTCGGAGAGCTGAGCGATCTCACCTTATCTAGAAAGCAGTGCCAAGTAATACAGGTGCGCATGGAGATCCCTTTATCTGCAGACTTGCAACTCATAGACAGCTCCACCCCCATCGCTTTTTATTCCTCTCGCAATCTTCCAACTGCGCCATAAGCATGTATTCTGCAACATGGTCAAACTCGGTTTTTCGAGCAGGAAATCATGCCATAGTCTGCATTTCAACCCAAAGGCATGTTGGCTGCCCGCTCCCACTCTATCCTTGGGTAGCCCTGCAGGAGGTCGCATAGGATCAATGTTCCGGGCCTAGGCCTAGTATATGCTAAGGAATTTATGCACATGATTTTGAGCCAAAGCATGCAGCAAGTAATAGTTTTTCTGGGGATGGCTCTATGCAAGTATGTGTTGTTTCATGCATAGTAAACCCGATATTTCCAAAACGTTCTGTGTAATGGGATGCTATGCTTTGTAAGTATACAAGACGCCGAGATCGTCGAGGCTGTGACTCATGGCTATCAAGACGGCAGACTCTCAGAGAAGCAGCTTCGCAAGCAATTGTCACTTTGAGATTTTATGCGAAACTTAATTGTACGAGACATCTGCATCATTGGGCGAGTGTCTGAGAAGTGTTTTGGTTAGAGTGTCAACCCTTCACAACAGTTCATCGAGACTTCTTTTGTAATTGTGGTAAAGCGAGTGAACTTCGAAGCATTTCAGAGTCCATAGGCACTTCTTCTTATTTTTCTTGGTCACGCTAGACTTATATCTTAGTTAATGTGATTTGTCTAGATTCTGGATAGTTGGGACTGTGAAAGGTGAATTCCTGTAAGTGGTGCAATTGGTTGTGCAAGTCAGGCGGCAAGTTTGTTTCATTTACAGGTCAGTCTATTAATCAATGCAGCACTAAAAGAGGGCCCCTTGGAGTCTAATTTATTCTAATAATTAATTGTAATAAGTACTGTATACGTATGGTTCCGCATTTTCCTGTTCTATGCAGACATTTGCGAGGTCGAAGCACATGATAAGGTCGAGAAACTCAACGCGAGCCTCTTAACCCAACGTACATCTTCGGAAGCATATTTATTATATGTCGAATTTAATCTCGACATGGAAAGATACCGGTATTGAGGTAATTTGCAGCAGTGCAATAACCTTCTGACATATCCAGGTCTCCGTTGAGGTTGTCGGGTAGACAGTTATGGCACGAAACATGAACATAAAGCATGATAACTAAGAGGAGATATTATGTCATTGGCACAATAACTCCAATCATATACAAAGCTTCTTTCACGTGATGTCTCCGTCAATGCTTTCGAGGGGAAGGGGCCATCACTACGTTAGTACTATAAGAGAGTCTCAGGCAAGCACATAGATTCAGGCTTGTCCCGTTAATCTCAGTCCATGTGAATCAACTAATACATATAGGTCACTCATATCAAAGGAGGCAGCATGTTTCAGCGAGAATGTTGCTTTTGCTCAACATCGGGTAAAGCGCACGCGAACAAATGGACGATATAAAACTATCTCGATATCAATAGCGCCTATTGGGTATATGAAAAGCAAATCCATCAAGGAACAAAAAAATACTGGCTAATCGTAAATGCTGAACGGGCCTTTGGGAGATTTTCCTCATGATGCACCAAGCGCTCACAACCATGATATACAAAAAGGGAAACATTTTAGGGAGAAAAACGTAGCCCAGCGTGGTCGTGAAGGTCAGTATCAGCTAGAAAGAATGAAAACAGTCGTCATGCTGAGCCTCATCGTGGAGTGGAAGCCCTCGCACAGGGCTTGTAACTGAGGCAGTCCTCCCTTCATGGCACTCACAGTCCAAGAATTCGTCGTGCGCCATAGCATTCATGTACGTGCTTACGGAACCCTTCTGGAGACCACAGGCGAGTCAATAACGCTAGAAGTGGACGATATGGCCCAACATCCGCTGGGACAATTTGTGAGAAAGCAGGTTGAGGAAGTATGCCCTGCATGTAATGGCTGTACGTAACGAGGCATCCTTTACATAGGACACCTTTCTCAGCGCCAGTATCTGAGAGATATGGAAACCGGATGGAGGCCATTCCACCAAAGTCATCTTCCACTACTTCAGCTTTTCTGGGCAGTCTCGACAGATCACATCCTGGAGAGTCCAGCGAAGCTTCGTGGAAATGTCTAAAAATAGCAGCATCTTTCATTGATACTGTGCCAGGGCGGTATGTTGGCCTCAGCTTGGCAAGCTCCTCAGCTGAGCCATGTATTCCCAGCGCAAGCTTCTTTGCCTGCTTGACACTGACAAGATGTTCCACCTGTTTATGCACAAACTGGAACCTGAGACCAAAGGTACCAGGAATACTGTGCATGATAGGGATTCGCCCCAGGTCGTCACCTGTGAGACCAAAGCACTGCTTCGCCATGGCTGGGGAAGTCATTCGGAGAGCCTGGTTCTCATATAGACATTCGAAACAAACCCTCTCACACGTGGGCAAAAAGAGAAACCCGCCAAAGGCAAAACACGACACACATTTGCTCTGCCGTAGGGTAGAGTGAAGAAGAGTGGCAGGATGATGGCCTAGCAGATGAGTTTGACCCAAAGTGGCCAATGTCTCTGGGGCATGCTGAACCATGTCGCTGTAAACTGGCAAATCCTCTATGACATCTTTGCCCAGGAGAGATACCCGTGAAAGGCGGGACAGAGACTGGAAATCGAGAAGATCGAGGACAGAGAGCAGAAGCTCTGCAGGAAGGAGGTCCAATTGGCCTAGAGATGAAGCATACACTCGTGGCTGGTTGGTGATGGGTGTAATGGATGGGAGAGTCTGATTGGGTGAATGACGAATCATGCCATTGAACTGAGATTCTCCGTCACGGATGAGTTGTTGGATGCCGCTGCTGCAGCAGGATGTAGCCATGGCAATATATATGGATGGATAGATATAAGAGGAGTAGACAGATAGTAATAATACAGTAAATAGTTTCTATGGAGGAATTGATGGACAATAACACAAGGAAGAGAAGAGGAAGAGGAAGAGGGAGAAAATTATAGAAGGGACACTAGTAGACAGAATGGGTGACACTAAACTTATAGCTTAGAAACAAGAAAGCGGTAAAATAGTTGCACGAGTTATGGAGAGAAATAAAAAGACCGAGGTGTTGACCAACTACCCTTACTCAGCAGGACGAGCCGCTTAGATTCAAGGATCTCAGATATGAGAGAAAACAAGACTTGTTGTAGTAGCCAGCCGGTGTCTTGGAAATGTATGTACGGCACTGTAGAATATGCATGGCCATGGGCTCTATCTAGTTAATTAAGCGCGGGGGTGTTTTTGATGTTGGGGGGCATTTGATGTGAGTAGATGACCATGTAGATATTGGATAGCCATAGATTTGCCAGAGTGTGCCTTACACTTCGTTGATTATTGTTGCAATAAGGTTTCATATCATATCGTTTACTTCATGGTTATTCAACTTGATCAATGGCAAGACTCTGGTGTTTGCTGGATTGCCTAGTATGATGACTCTCGTGATACCCATGTCCTTGCACCCATGATGGACGACATTGTATTGTGCATATGACAAGCCGCCGGTCTTTAAGTTCCGGCTCTTTCTCCACCAAAAATGTCTTGAACTTGACTCAACCAGAGATCTTGTCGTTCTTTCCTGCCGCGGATTTAGTCATTCTGGAATAGTAACTATTATCGCCCAGTAGATCCTCATTGGCTACGGTTAGTCTTAATCTTGACGAGTTCCGGGCCGGCCCTTTGCAAGTATGTTACTGTTGGGTGACATGACAGCTGGAAAGTCGGGAGATCACCCTGCACAACACAGCTCTTGTGTGTGTATGTGTATTGTTTACAATTTAATATGACTAAATCGAGAGACATGGCTATCAGTGGAACATAGCAATTAGACTGACTGTTCAAGCCCAGTATCGTTGCAGTTCAACTGTCAGAGAGATCATCAAGTTGAGAGGTCATGATGAGCAAATTGAACTCTTGTCCGTTCCATTTTCTCATTGCAACATCATCAAATTGAGTCTTGAATATCTTTCAGTATAGTTATCACAAAACACTACAAGTCTCTATCACTGTAAAACGGGCAATCCTCATTACACCCGTTCAATGATCCCCACTAGCCGCTCCCTTGGACTCTTAGCTCATCTTTCCTTTCCTTAGGTTGGGGGGTTGTCGTCGGTTCGGACTCAAGCAACAGGCTCGGTCGAGGGCTCGGATATTCGAGACGACATTATTCCACTTCTGCATATAGCGTCGGACATATTTTTTTTTTCTCCCTCGTACTCAACAACAACAAATTCGCATTTGATCTACATTCGCTTGCCTCACTTTATTTGTGCGAATTCGAATTCGTTGAAGCATTCGTAAATGCGCAAATAATCACATTCTACTACAACACTTCACAGTAGTGTGAAACTGAGCCGTCTGAAACCGAAGCTCTTTCATCCACTGACTAGTCGAACTAGCGGAGCTGTCTATCGATGTTCAATCTTTAATGGATGTTGTGAACTCTGCTGGTCCACTGTCCAGGTCGGTACTGTAGGACACGGATACTTGTCTCCACTGCACGGACAAGTTACATCAATATTTTTCTAGTTTCGGTACCTAGGAGAGCATGTCTATGCTTTCAACAAACAAAAAAAACTTGGCCTTTATTGGTTTCTAGAAAGATGTGCTAACAAGAATTTCCTGCTGTGTTTTCGGTCCGATGTTGATGGCGTGTAAGGGTTGGATAGCAGGTTTGTGCGAGCTATCTGAACTTGTTGGCAACTATTGATCTCGTTGGAAGACAATCATAACATGTCAAGTCTCGTTAATAAGCTTATGGACTGATTATCTGATCTGATCCTCCAAATCCGATCGCCCCAGTTTACGAGCATCTCACATCACTAGGGTAGTCAACGGATGTTTCACAGAAACTTTATCGCGTATTGATATTATGGCGCGTTAGTAGCTGAGTCTCATATTTCTTCACCGATTCTATAAGTCTAGTCATATAATAGTCACGGTGGATGGCTGATAATGAGTGTTATGTTGCTTAAGAAAACACTGCGTGTTGTTCATTCAAAGAATTACACACGTGTCTTGGGAAAGGGATTTCATGGATTGAGAGAGAAAGGTTTACCATCGTGGTTTTGTACAACCATACATTTCAAGAAACTGGGGGGTTAGGACTTATGCGATTGATTGGTTTGAAGTTTATGTGTCTGATCTTATCACAAAGTCTCAGTGAACAAGGAAAGTTATGGATGTTAAGCCAGCGTGAGTGAAAATGAAGGAAATACTGCATATTTCTCATTATGAATCTTTAACCACATGTTATTCATGTGGCTTATTGTTTCTGATTAATGTTTACTTGCGTTTTTGTGATAAGCTTCGCATATTCACACTTTGATTGTCTCTGATTGCGATTCCCACGAGGTGCAGGGTAAGCGTAGTCTGTGCCATTTCAGTGAGTGTGCGAGATAAGTGAAGAAATGGTGGTCTATGTATTGTATCTGAATAGGTACACAGGAGATCAGTTATTTTACTTGATGCCTATCATCTAAACAGATTGCTTTCGAGATAGGCTACCTATCCTGTTATTGCGCTTTGCAGACTGACTAAAATTGCTACAAGGTTTGGATCTAGCAAGTATGACAGGATTGTCGTGCTTCCTCGTTTGATTCACTATTAACTCATAGCAAGGCCATTCCCAGATCAAAGCGTCGAACAATGCAATCGCTTTGCTTTAAACTTACCAGCAAAAATGAAGCAAACAACCACGTAGAATGATATGTTGTTGGTGCTGGTTGACCGACAAAGAAAATTACCCCGCCAAGTGCATATCCCCATTGGGCCCATCAACAAAAACGTCCACTTTGACGGATAATATAGTGGGGGTGAGATGGGATGCGAGATGGCCATGGCTTGAAGAACAATATCAACCGAAATATTCATTCTTGTTAGGTTCAATACAACACCCATAAAGAAAAAGGGCTTTCCTTCATATAATTCAGCTGCGTGATGAGAGCTCGTTCTCGTCTTACTCGTCCTCGCCCTCGTGTTTTGTTTCCGCATAGCAATACCAGCAGCAGCAGCAACACCAAACCAAAACCAAAACCCAACACCAGGATGGCTTCAGTACAAACACCGCCACAGTCAGGGGTGCATCTGGAACCCTCCATCCCTCAGCTATTCACCACCGATCCTCCTATTCACGATGAACTACCCACAGAGTCGTCCCGCCTGCAGGACGAAACCATAGACGAAGTCTTGCCCTTCCTCAACGGTGAGGAGCACCAACAATGCAACTCCCACGGCCTGCCCCATCTGGACCGACGTCGCCATGTCAACTTCTTGCACAAGCAGCTGGGCAAGTTGCCCGCCGCCTTTACCTCTGCTGATCCCAGCCGGCCCTGGTTCTTCTACTGGTGTCTCTCTGCTCTGGTTCTTCTGGGAGAGGACGTCGAGCCGTACCGAGAGAGACTCGTTGATACCGTTCGCCCTATGCAGAATCCCGATGGAGGATTCGCTGGCGGCTTCGGACATACCTCGCATCTCGCCACCTCCTATGCAGCCGTCCTGTCGCTGGCTCTAGTCGGCGGTGAGGATGCGTACGAATGTATTGACCGACGAGCCATGTGGAGATGGCTATGTTCACTCAAGCAGCCCGATGGAGGGTTCCAGATGGCCCTGGGCGGCGAGGAGGATGTCAGGTATGTGCATAATGTACCACTCCATCGCGTTGCGCCATGCATCCCCTTCCACAATGGCACCGCGGCGATCAAAACCTGTACCCCGATTGTCATCATGTCGTGAACCGTGAATAGACTCATCTGCCATCATTTCCTTCGTATAAATCTGCAGACTGACAGCATTACAGGGGTGCGTACTGCGCGGCCGTCATCATCTCTTTGCTCAACCTCCCTCTTGAGCTACCACAAGATTCTCCCGCACGATCTGCTGGCCACACTGGTCTGTTTGCAGGACTGGCCGACTACGTGCACAGATGTAAGTAATGCATGAAGCCCTAGACATCCATGGTCCCTCTCTGATCGTCCATCTTGAAAAAGGTCAAACGCACGAGGGCGGCGTGTCGGCCAAGCCGGGCATTGAAGCACACGGTGCATATGCATTTTGCGCTCTCGGATGCCTTTCGATTATTGATTCTCCACATCGAGCCATCCCACGGTATGTCCCTCTACCCTTTCTCTATCCACTTAAATCTTGACATGGAAGCGGTGCATGCTAACCCAGTTCTGATCGTCCGGGTTTTGTAGACATCTCAATGTACCACTACTCATCTCGTGGCTGTCATCTCGTCAGTATGCCCCCGAGGGTGGTTTCTCGGGCCGCACAAATAAGTTAGTCGACGGCTGTTACAGTCACTGGGTCGGAGGGTGCTGGCCTCTCATCGAGGCCGCTCTTAACGGACCCGGGCCGGGACCTGAAGGGGAAGAGGCCAGCCCAGGTGGCCGCCCGCTACCTGCGGCCCAATATAGCCTCTTCAGCCGTGACGGTTTGATCCGATACATTCTTTGTTGCTGTCAAGACCAGTCCAAACGGGGTGGGATGAGGGACAAGCCAAGCAAGTATGCAACTCCGTGGCCCTGCATCCAGAATTCTCGATGAGCGCTAACTCCAGTTCAACAACAATCAGGTACTCGGATGCATATCACACCTGCTACGTACTTTCTGGCTTGAGCTCAGCACAGCACAGGTGGACCTTGGATGCTGCTCGCCCTCACGAGGCGGACGTGAAGGGCGATTCCTGGTCTGTGACACCTTACATGGAGGGTGAACAGATCTTCGACGAAGAGGATCGTGTTGCCACTGTGCACCCAGTTTATGTCATTCCACAACATAAAGTGGAGGGCATGCAAAATTACTTTTCGTCCAAGCATGGCTTTTAGATTAAGTAGCATTTGTGTAGCGTCAGGTGGAGGCTTGGAAGAACAGATATGGGACACGACATATGATGGACCACGATGCAGCAGAGACTGGCCATCTTCCATGGACCTGCAAGTGTACATACATTCTCACATGTTATCAAATCCAACAAGGTCGCACATGTTCAGGCCTTGGTGTATTTGCTGGCGGCGCACATAGATTTGCCTTTTTGATGACGATCTATACTTAAATATCATATCTCAATGGCAAAAGCACGATATGGCACCTGCGTTGTCGAGGTATGGCAAACTGTGCTGCTCATCCATTTCGATTCCGAGATACAGCACAAACAAACATCCATGAAAATCCACCTTAGTGCATGCATGCATAAACCAGATAGTGGGCGCGGGGCAGCTTAGCTTGCAAGCCGCAGTTGGTTTCGATGGTGGTATACTGTGTCGTGAATGACAAGCGCGGCAGACTTCAAAAAATGTATCTTGCCTGAGTGAGTAAGCAATAGAGTGATCCGAGAACTTCCCCAACACTGAGGACACAAACGATCAGTTTGGAGCACCAAAATGGTCCAGATACCTTATTAGTGTTATATGTCCGATATATTTCCTGAGTTCAGGTAGTGGTCCAGGTAGGTACCCGACGTCAAGGTATATCGTAGTATTTAGAGCCTCAGGGATCCAGCCAGCCCAAACGACTTTATAATACATGCAGACGTGTAAGACGAATCTACACTTCTGCCACAAGACTTACTTGCAACTTGGTTGCGTGCAACTATCAATCAAGGGTTGGTAGTAGTAGCAATATGGAAGAACTTCGAGAGAGAAATAAGTAACATATAATAGGAGCCCTAACGATATTGGTAGAAGAAGTTCCGAATCTTTTCAGGTGTTATGTATGGTATAACACAGTTATGGTCTGTGGGCAATTCATGAGGTTGAAGAAGCTATTTCTCCTACCAATCACCAGGATAGCGTGGAGATAAGAAAATAAGGTCCCTTCAACGGTCAAGAACGGGCATGTAAGACAACCTTATGATTATGTCTTAGTTGTAACGTGCTGTTGACCACAAGTGGTCATTTCGACTTGGCCCAGGACGCATTCGGTAGGCCAGTTCCACACATTTCCAGTGGTACCATACATGTGTATGTATGCTTTGTCCCAGTGCAGTGACTTACCATAACTCAGACTGGTATCGGATGAAGGGGCCCAAGCACTTGGATCGACTGACAGGGTAACTAAGCGAGTCCGGACCCTGTTTAAACCATCTTGATAGGTAATGCCGAACAAGAGGTGCAGCTACACATAATGCTGAATAAGTATCTGGTATGTATACCACTAAAAGAAGCATGGATCTGTACCATACATAATTTCTTGGCCCTGGATATTGTTGATAACAGTAATTATTACCTCCAGGATCCCTGTCAGACGGGGATCTTGGTCTAGCCGCCACAAGCCACTCTGAGGGGATGACGGAAGCTGCAGACGTTTGAGTGAACTTGATCTACCATGGCAAAAGTCTCGGAATCAACTTTACGCGAACCCGAGGCCAATCATGGTCAGTTGCCTATTAACTTGAGTAGTATGGGACGGGACATTGTACTGACGGCAACCCGCTGCTCCTCGTCGTCATCGTTATCATCGCCGGCACTTCAGTTATGTGACCGCCGCCCCGCCTATGGCCCATATTGGTTCTAGGGATTAGGAGTTGTGAAGTGACAAAAAGAGAATGTAATCCACTGAATAGGTGGATTTTGTTAGGTGCAGTCATAGGTATCGGTAGTCTAGGTTTTGGAGCCAACAACCTTCAAGTTTTCTGTCGTTGAGTCCTCCATAACAGTAATTGTACCAGTGATGTAGTATTTCTTAGAGCCGTTTTAGCCTTGTTGTTTATTGCCGGCCCTCCTGGTTGTGTAACCGCCGTCTCTCCGTTACAACGACTCACATCACAATAGGCGATACGCTCATGATGATTAGACTCAATAAGCTCTTCTCTTGCCGCAGGCAGCTACTGAAATTATCGTTTCGTATCGATGTGAATGATGAACTCGGGTCCGACTTTAGGGAAGCAAAAAATAAATAAAAAATCCATCTGTCAGTTTCCAATTCGATGGTGAACGTCTGCCATGGGGCTGCCTGGAGTTGGCACGTCAGAGCGGGCTAGCGGCATCCTAGATAGAATTCTGGAAGGGTTCCAATTGTCGAATCGTTGTTCGGTGTTGAGAAGCTCAAGCTCCGTCATGGTTTCATTGAAGAGGAGATACCCTTGTTCCTCCACAAAACCCACAAAAGCCCACACAAGGTTGGATTCAACAACACCCTTGTCACGACTCGCAGCTCGATATCAGTCCTGCAGATGCTTGGCGAATTGTTTGTTTACAAAGCTCTTTGATCATAGTTGGCTTGAACCTATCTAGTCAACTCAAACAATAATAATCCCAAGGTACAGGGCCAGACATACAGACAGATGACATACCTGGACCTCGGCAATCACGATTCTGTGCAATTCAGTATGCATAGAGGTGACACTTTTGCTGACGATATTTGTACATTGACATGGAGGGAGCATAAATCGGCCACCTCACCTCACCTCACACAGAGAAAGGCAAGGTAAGACGCTGGATGAGGTATGTGAGGTACTTGCCGTTGACAAGCTTGCCGGCAGTTGTGTCCCACTATTGAAAGTTCCTGCAATGTTATTATTGTTGATGTTGTTTTTTCTTATTTGATTCAAAAGCATTGCCAACACATCTTTGCATGAGGTTAGTAGGGGCTGACCTGACCCTAAAAGCTACCTGCACCTGCCTTACCTTGCCTTAGTTGTTGCCTCGAGCTTCTTTCTATTGGGGTTCCTCCTGCCATCCATTTTTATCAATCACACCTCTTGGTGTTTGGATAGTACCCATAACTTAACCTACTTTCCATTTGGTAAGGACAGCGTTCAGACGTCAATGTGCTTCCCCCTCGTCGACGGGCATGGGCCTCTCTAGTAGGTAGTCCGTACAGTATCTCGGAAGGCACCGTGAATGGATGTGCTAACTCAAGCCCAAAGCTATCTTCTGACTCCAACATTTTGCTTAAAACACCAAGGACAAAAGGCTCCTCTTGTCATATAATTTCTCGAATGCCATGATAAGGTATCCTACATACTTGAACCATCAGATTCGCTGTGGACACCATCTCATTGGGCGTGCAAGTCCTAACCCCATCTTTATCACTGAGACATTCAAGCAAGAGTTGATGTGCATCTTCCAATCAACCGGGCCGCTTTCACCGTTCTCGTCATTCGAGCCATGAGATTAATAAAGACTCACCCGCTTTTGCTGCATTGCTAAGAACAGCCCTAACGGCGCCCACACCCACGTCTGTGGATGAATGGCGCAGGGCAGGGTGGGCAGGGATATGGGAGAACAGTACAGTACAGTACCCGTCTGTTCTCTATTGCTCAAAAGTCCAGCCACTTACTATCCTGTTCATGCATGTCGTCGCGCTGCTTCACCGACCCTTTCTCTGGGTCCTGGCCCTGGCCCTGGCCCTGGACAATGGGATGTAAACTTCATCAGTGTGGGCAATCTTCGTCTGGGGGTCCGGATGTTATCACCGTTGAGCCATGCTCATCTTTCAGGGCAATGGCCCCGCAAACATTGGTTGCTGATCTTATGGCCAGCTATCCGACAAAGAGATTCGGTATCGTGGCAGAGACCGCATCAGAAAACTTAATGGCACTAGCCTTGAATATCCACTTTGTCTTCTATTGTAAATGCCCATGATGCTATTCCGAGCATGAGGGCTCTTGTCGCAATCTCGTGATCCAAGTGTGAAGCGCCCATTTTTGGGGGTTGTAGAGTGTTTAGATGCTTGATGCAATTGCCCCAGTCAACCTGCTTCACAATTTGCTTATTCTGCGTACGAGTTGCCCATGGTTCTAACCGCCACATGAAGTTGAGAACGTGTCCCGCTCTCACTGAGTCGCTGTCACTCGGCTCCAGTACGACACTTTAGTCTTCAGACTAGGCCGCTCAATACGGCCGCCCATTTCGCGCGCGACTGTCGAGGAACAAAACATAGGTACCTAGCATATGCTACTCCTAACCCTGAGAATTTTTGCTTCCAATTTGCTGCGGAAACGATAGGCAGCTTTGATGCTCCTGCAGCAACTCCGGCCACCGGGGCTCTCGGCGCTGAGGGAGAAAGAGGAGGGGTTCAAGGTGGACTGCCACTCGCTGCACCTCATCGTCCAGCCTCGGAGCAGTACTGCGCAAATACAGCGCGGTACCTGTGCAGTACTTTGAGAGTTTGGCTGCTGTGCATTAGTGGCCGCCAAAGCAGAGATCTCGGATGTCAAGATATGGTGGTGAGCCAGGATTATTCAAGGCATCGTCTTAGATGCTCTGAAATTGTATGAGCTGCTTTTGCAGCTGCAGACTATTTTGCCTCTCATCAACATTTCGGTCTTTTCACGCGTCCGGCCTGACAACGAGAAATGGATTACCCGCCTTGGACCGCTGCGGTGATCTCCTGTTCGCCACTTGAGTTGAAGCTAAAGCAAGTTGAAATTGTTGCCATGTAGCAATGCATCTTCAATCGCGTGTCTGCATGAGCTTCAGAAACGGGGCCTTCACTGGCCCCGTCGCCCCCCATTCCAAACCATGCCATCATGCCCTCATGTACTCGGCCGGATACAATACAATGACCCTGGCCATAGAGTATGTACCATTGGTCCCTAGATGCTGTTGCGAGGGGAGTGGGCAAGCGAAAACATTCAACAATACAAAGTTTGAACTAGAGGCCATAGCCGAGACCGTCAAGGAAGAACGGTGTCGGCAAAAGAGAATCAGAAAAAGAAAGAAAAACAACAAAAAAAATTCGAGAAAAAAAAAACAACAACAACAACCCGCAATTGAGGATCCAGCTGCAGAGCAATGACTGAGAGGAAAAATGGGAACTTACTAGGTTCCTTGGTGGTACGCCAGTGGCCGAAGGCGTTAACTTTGAGACTTATCAGAGAGATCGCCTGCTTGCTGCATCCTCCATGTGTCGCGGTGGAGTGGCCTAGTCGCCAGCGGTTTTGATCAACTGGCAACCAGGTAGGCCAGCACAGCAAGATGGGTCACACTCTTTTGAGAGCCGCATCGTTGCTTGCATCTGCCTCCATTCGCGCGTCTTTCTTTGTCTCCAGACACCCCCGGTCCCCGCGCTAACGGGTTGTCTGGAATAAAGGCACACACGTCTCGTCGTGCCATCGGCTCAACTCGTCTGCAGCATATGGATGTACGCATTGTCAATACCCAAGTAGGTAGGTATTACTCAAGACGGATATCTCGACAAAGCTAAGGTTGTCCTTCCTTTTCTTCCGGTACTTTTCCTCAAGCGTATCTATTCTTGCTTCGATCTCTTCATCCTGTCTCAACCCTTGAAATCCACCTTGTACGCCAGCCGTCTAAGTCTTCCTCAGCTTCAGATACAAGACAGGCCGAACAAATCTGACAGGACCCCTCCAAATCTTTACCTTTCCCCAAGAATCGCAAGGCTTGTTTCAGTTTTGATTCGGTTCCTGACATCTCGCTGCCTCCACATCCTCTCTACCCGCTGCAACGCTCGATCCTAGAGTTCGTTCTCGGAGCTAAACCCTGTCTTCGGCATCAGTCTTCTCTTTTGGATCTAGACAAGCGTTTATTTTGGGCGCGTTTCCTCCATTGATATTCGTTCTTTATATCGACTTCCCCTCTCATGCCCTTGATCCTCTCCACTATCTTTGCCGCCCCAGAGAAGCTTTTATAAACTTCGATTTCCACCTTTCTGTTTACTCAGTCGCAACCACATCTGCTTCCAGATCTTCCGCCTTTGCCCATCAAGTGAACGCCACCAGCATCAGCATCACAATGGGCGGCTTCTATATGCAGTACCTTGAGAGTAAGTCCACCATGTTCTGAGCTGTATCATTGTTTTTTTGGGAAGCAATTTCGTCCATGGCGTCGGCAATTGCGCATGGAGAAGTTATGCGATGGACAAAAAAAAGATTGTGTACATGGTAGGCCCAAGTGCCCCGCATGTAGCAATGAACAACCTTTGTTCTTACTATTGTGCGACTTGGGTTGAAGTGCAAGCCTGCGCCATTGGCACAATTAGGTCAGATAACATAGGCTCCTTGAAACACAGGCCGTGACTATCCAGCAGTCAACCCTCGACATGCGTGTAGACATGATGCACACTCTCGGGTGTTCAGATGGATTGTGGGGGTTTCTCAGAACATCAACTTACACCAATTATCAAGACAAGGGCTTTTTGCTAACGTAATTGTGCACAGGCCTCTGCCGTCGTCGAGGATGGACAGACCCCATGTACGAGTGTTACCGGGACCACAACGGCTACACTTGCCTGGTCCTTGTCAATGGCCGTGAATATCAGACAGATCTCGCATACGAATCCGACGGATTGGCCCAAGAGAATGCTGCCATGCGTGCTTTCATGGTATGCCGCAACTTCTCTGTTAACGGAGGTATGCTGGCACGCAATGGCATTGTCCAAGGCCTTCCAGCTCAGGAAACAGCACGTCACCGCAAGAGCCGCTACACGTCTTCTCGAGACAGCGACCGCCACAGCAGGCGATCGGGACACCACTCCAGTAGTAGCTCGACTGCCTCATTCGACTGAGAATTCCATGGCACAGCTTTCGACGGCCATCCGAATCAACCGATGCTTCACGGTTGGGCCTAGATCAGCTCACGTGGGAACATGTCGAGGAAACATGAGGGATAGCCACACACAGGACGACTTACAAGCGGTTGAAATGCTTCACAGCAATCCCAAGGGATATACCCAAACCAACCTCCTTTGGCAACCCTTCTCTCATGAGACTCAGGGAAGGATCACCACTTATTTTTTTGTTGCTTGATTTTTATTACATCTCATCTTGCCTTTTTTGTCTTCGTTTTTATTTTGTTTCCAACAGATCATTTTGAATTGGATTGGCGGCGATATGTAACCTGATACATCCTTGGCCGTTTCCGACGACTCATGACGATACGATACGACTTTAGATGCGATCTCACCTTTCTACGGCCGGTATTTTCCATAAGGCTTTCATCCAGCTTGACGGCTTATTGTGCCTTGCGACAGAGTGAATCGACCCAAACAAGGAGGTCGACTTACAATGGGCACTCTTTTGTTCATCCTGACAACTTCTTGAACGTTCATCACACCCAGGATGACTTGCTTGTATCAAATCGACCTGAAAGGGCGATGCGTTGCAACAAGGGACCTCCGGTAACACCGGGCAGGTCATTCTGAGGAGACCTTGAAGTCAAGAAAACAAAAGACACACACAAAACGGATGGTAAAAATTGAAGAGGGAAAGGACGCCTACGAATGAGGAAAATTTGAAACGAATGATAATATCATTCACAAAAGGTATTTATCTTGCAAAAATCACGCAAGAGCGGATTTGACATGCATTGAACGACAATTTGACGAACCATGACAAAAAGAGAAAAAGCACATTGCTTAGGGATTTCTTTTAGCATTTGGTACCTTTTTTTTTTTTTTTATTAAAGCGAAAGCTGGGTTTTCTCAGTACATTCTGTAATGATTCTGACAAGAGGTTGGAATCTTGTTTTGAAGGAGGAAAAAAACATGAGCATGGTAGGAGCTAGCGTTGACTTTTACAACATGAGTAAAGATGCGAAGGATCATGAGATTGAAACGATTGACGAGGATGAGCATGAACTTTGGAGGAGCTCGATGATACGGCACTTTAACGACTATAATGATCATGAATTTTTCATTTCTCTACCGGATAAAATTCAGAACCATCATGTGTTCTATCGTCGTGATGCATCTGTGGCAATTGAATTGAGATTGGAGCGGCTTGGTGGCTTTATTCTCACCACACAATGATGTCCTGATGATGAGTAGAAAGGGGGCCACCACAGCGCGCCTCCAATCCGTTCTATTAGGTACCCTGAGATATATTGACTATTACTGTAAGCCAGGCCACCGGCATTGATAGGACGGCGATCGTTTTATCGAGTTGGGGCATATGAAGCCTGATATCCTTCCACTATGGGAATGTCTGCTATATCGGCTATGTCGGGGGATGAGATCGGTTGATATATGTATGTGTGTACTGCACTGGAGTTTACAATACAACCAATCACTGCCGAGAATACGTATCCCTTAATGACAATATTCGGAGTTGGCGTGCAGGTGTTGGATGACAGTTTGTTCAAGTCACCTTGGACCAGCTTCTGAGTCATGTGTTTCCATTCATTTTAGAAATTAGGTGTTAAGTTTGTTGACAACTCGTAAGTTGTTGAGGGGAGCATAAAGAAGCACAATAAGAGGGGTGAGCTGTAATAAGATGCAACAAACCAACACACTTTTGCATGCCGAACGGTAACACCACCAACTGTCAGCTGCTGACCTGATGGAAACAGCACCACCAACCCCAAACTCTAAGGTTGCACACTTAAGCTTTGGTGATTACCGATCCGCTTGAACATCTAGGCTGTACCTAGAGATGCAAACTGTGCGATGACGTTGTGTGTTGAACATTTACAAAGCAACAGTCTGACTGAGCAATTGATTGGAGCATATGTGTGACATGAGCTGTCTGTATCTACCAATCATAGCCTCGTTGCCCACATGAAACATTTGAAAATAGGTAGAAGAGGAGACATTTGACAGAGTTTGGGGTTGAAGTTTAGTAGTTACGTGTTGAGGTCACGAGATGGTGACTGACAGGTCAATCAGAGGAGGGGTTCTCACACTAACAAGTTAGTTAGCAGACGTGTCAGATGGAGACGCGGGAGAGGCTGAGAGATGGATCACCTCGATTATGAAGTCATATGGGGCGAGTTGTGGAACGGTTTTGTGGTTGTTGTACGAAATAATGGCTTATGAGAGTCGTTTTTGAGATAGAAAGATAGAGAGTCATGAGGATGATGCTGTACGAAACGTCAATGCGGTTGAGAAGAGCAAGACTGATGTAGAAAAGTCCGTTACCAATACGAGGGACTCTCGTAAATGAGTTGCAGGGTCCTTGACGGGGGTTATATAAATGAACGTCAGCTTGTGAGTGGCTCGTGTTAGCACCTCCTTAATGCTTTGTCTTGAAGGGAATGGTGCCATTATTATTAGTTTAGATCTATTTTCCAACGGTTTCATCAATTGATCGAGTGAAGAAAGGAGATTATGAGGAGATATTGAGTCTTGATTGAATGTCAGATGTTTTTATACCTCGTGAATAGTGTGGCTGGTAAACAACGTACTAACCAAACCAATGCTAATTTCCTGTCTCGCTATACTTTTATTAGACAAATGAAGCATACAGCAGCTTCCTAAAGCAGATGATGAATTGTTTTCAACCTCAGCTGAAACCATGTTAGCTATTGATTAATTCTAGAAGAGTAGAGAGTACGGAGTATCCGGACGGCACGGATAGTCGAGACGGAAACAGCCTTTTTCTCTTTCAACAGGGGGTTCAATATAATTTCGCCAGGGAACGGGAAATGGTCGAGCCACATTGACCCCGCTGAACATGGGGCTTTTTGATTGGAGTGAGATGGAAGCCGGAAGCCCCCTTTCCCTTTCTCTGCTTCCAAGGACCTCGTGTCGCAGATCGTTGATTTGTGTGGACCCGTAACTTAGTAACTTGAGGAAATAAATAGTCTGAGAGGCGTAGTCTAGAGTAATAGGTATCAACTACAAGTCATGATAGGTGGTACTCCTTTATTGCTGTAGACTTAGTACTTAGGTACCTATTGGAAACGTGTTGCCTCTTTCCAATTAATTGGCTGAAACATTTCGCAACTACAAAAACTATTAAGTCCCGAATTAGGTTTAGAAATACCTCGAAACAAGGCAACTTTCACAAAGAGATCTTCATCGTGATTAAGCCTGGACCTAAAAAGGACCCTGGCTCTTTACTGTCGGTCGGTTCTGGCACTGGCTGACCACTGTCAATTCATGCTAGACCCCTCCTGGATCCTGGATCCCGTTCTCCACTTTCCCATCCCATCCCATCTCATTCTCGTCAGCCTGCTTTCTGTTGTTTCTATGGCTGAATCTGAATCTACCCACGTTGGCCTTTTTTAGACATCCCCACTTGCTTTGGATTGCTCTCCTGAGTTCAAAGTTGGCCTTCTTATTCTGCTCCTCCCCTTTCCTTTCCCTTCCTCTCTGACCTTGACCTTTACTTTGACTCTCACCCTAACTCTGAATCTCTCGAGATACCCCCCAATACCCTCTAACTTTTTTTTACCTATTCTAATCTAATCCTGTCGAGGTTTCTTCCTTCTTTTCAGGACCTCGCTGCTGTCGCTCTCTGTTCTTTACATTCGCTGTTCTGCTAGCTACTCTTACCCCCTTTGCTCTTAGCACATTCAGCTTAGCTTCTCAATACCGGAATCATGAAGGGTTTGTTCCTCCGAATCATCTTCTCTCACTCTCTAGCAGGTTAGCTAATAATGCGCAGGACTCATTCTTGTCGGTGGCTATGGCACCCGTCTTCGACCTCTCGTACGTTGCCCCGCGGAAGCTCGCGACACCATCGCGCGAACCTCCAATACTATTCTTGGTTTTTCATGTAACTGACCGTCTGCACCTTTGTATAGACCTTGAGTGTTCCCAAGCCCCTGGTCGAGTTTGCCAACAAGCCCATGATTGTGCACCAGATTGAGGCGCTGGTCGCAGCTGGTGTTACTGACATCGTCCTCGCTGTCAACTACCGACCCGAGGTCATGGAGAAGTTCCTGGCAGAGGTAAGAAGAGTCACCGAATCCGCTCACACAACACATATTCTGACGTTGGCGTTCTGCAGTATGAGGAAAAGTTCGGCATCAACATCGAATTCTCCGTCGAGACTGAGCCTCTCGACACCGCCGGACCCCTGAAGCTTGCCGAGCGTATTCTCGCCAAAGACGACTCTCCCTTCTTCGTCCTCAACTCCGATGTTATCTGCGACTTCCCCTTCGAGGATCTCCTGGCCTTTCACAAGAACCACGGCAATGAGGGTACCATTGTCGTTACCAAGGTCGAGGAGCCCTCCAAGTATGGTGTCGTTGTCCACCAGCCCGGGCACCGCTCTTTGATTGACCGATTCGTCGAGAAGCCCGTCGAGTTCGTTGGTAACCGCATCAACGCTGGTCTCTACATCTTCAACACCTCTATCCTCGACCGTATCGAGCTTCGCCCGACTTCGATCGAGAAGGAGACCTTCCCCGCCATGGTCAAGGACAACCAGCTCCACTCTTTCGACCTGGAGGGCTTCTGGATGGATGTCGGTCAGCCCAAGGATTTCCTCAGTGGTACATGCCTATACCTTTCTTCTCTCACAAAGAAGGGCAGCAAGGAGCTCACCCCTCCTAGCGAGCCTTACGTTCACGGCGGAAACGTCCTGATCGACCCCTCAGCCAAGATTGGTAAGAACTGCAGAATCGGACCCAATGTTACCATTGGCCCCAACGTTGTTATCGGTGATGGTGTCCGTCTGCAGCGATGTGTCCTGCTCAAGGGCTCCAAGGTCAAGGACCACGCCTGGGTCAAGTCCACCATTGTTGGTTGGAACAGCACCATCGGTCGATGGGCCCGTCTCGAGAACGTAACAGTTCTTGGTGACGATGTCACTGTCGGAGACGAGATCTACGTCAACGGCG